ATTTTTTAGTGTATATGAGACAGAACAACTAAGTCATCTGTGAAGTCCAAATCGTCTAGTTGCATCCACATTGTCCATTGTATTCCATTCTTACCCTCAATCCAATCAATCACTAAGAGAAATAGAAAGGGTGAGAGTAAGCAGCCTTGTCTGAATCCATTCCTTACTTGGAATGTGTCCGTCAGTTGTCCTCCATTTCAGACTCTGCACTGTAGTCCGTCGTACGAATTCTTGATGGTGTTGACGATTTTTTCAGCTACTCACGATTCAGTCTCTGAGAGACCGATCCTTACGGAACCCAACCTGTTGATCTTGGAATTGTATGTCTACTGAATCTTTCATCCAGTTCAGCAACACTTGAAATATTTTCCTGATACCTATAGTAGTGTGGTACCTCTGTAGTTCTCACACACGCTCAGATTTTTTTCTTTGTTATCTTGATGAGGCATCCGCCTTTCCAGTCTGTCAGCACTTGTTACTCTTTCCAAATCTTCTTGAATAGAACGTGGAGCATGTTTGCAGTTACTTCTATACCTGAATTCAGTGCTTCAGCTGGTAAACTATCAGGTCTTGTTGCTTTCCCACACCTGATTTATCTGATAGCCATCCTAATTTCTCCGATCTTTAGTGGAGTGGCATCTATAGGACGGTTTGTGTATGTTGCATTGATGTCTGTTCAAGGGTACTCTACCCACCTGTTCCTCTGTTCTTAAATATCAGTGATTGTCTTCCCATCTTTGTTCTTGACTGGTTTCTCTGGTTTACTATATTTCCCATCCCATATGATCAATCAACCATACTGAGCTAAAGTCCAATCACCTTTAACATAGATAAGGACGTTATCTGAGAATAATCTTCATTGTTTAGTATACGATATCAGTGTCTAAATTTGGTGAAAGGTGAAGTCGATAAATATGGCCTTCTAGCAGACATCGTCAGCATATAGTTACGCCCATTAACGGAAGACGAATTTAAATTTCTAATATTTTCATCAAAGCTCTTCAGTCACTACAAGATGCTGAGATTAGGACTAGACTTTTAACGAGATTGGATGAAGATCCAAACGTCACATTCATGACTCTGACAGATGAGTGTAAACAGCTACAAAACACCAGGCACGACAATGAGTTGATTGAACAAGTAAATCGTAATTTAACCCAAAGTAGTGTCAATGCTATTACCGGGTTAAAAGCTCAGAAGTCGATAACAACTTGTGACAAACGAACGAGTACCTGCTGGTTATATGGTGATTGACATTATGTACGATTCTGCCCATTTAAGAAGCATAAATGTCAGGTGTGCAACAGACATGGACATAAAGAAGGTCATTGTCCACCGAATCGTGTATCCCAACCCAAGAAGAAACATAAACGTCCTCGACATGTGGAATCAGCCGGGTCTAAATAACTCTCTGGTAGCAGTTTCCCAAGCAGATTATGATATTCTGATGAAGTATTTTGTGATCCAAATTAACGGCATATCAACGAGCCTTCAAATAGACAAGGCACTTGATATCATTCTAGTGTCTGGAGAAATGTGTAACCTGCTTGAAAAAGCGCGAATGAGGCCATCTAAGAAGACCGCCAAAAAGGCATCAATAGGAGTGCTAAAAGTTGTTGGCTAATTACAGTGTGAATTTTCCTTCAGTGGAGCTAACTGTAAAGGAATATACTATCTAACAAAACGGCCAAACCTTGATCTTCTTGGTCTATATATACAGAAAAAATTTGGAATAACAGATATACCCATTAACAGTGTCTGCAACGTGTCATGTTCATCATTGGACACTCCGATACTTGCAAAAAAGACAGGTGAAAGTTTTCTAGAAAAGCTAAAAAAAGAATTTGCCTCTGTTTTTTTCAGAATAGCCTCGATCACTGCACCAAGATGAAAGTTCATTTACCAGTGAGCCTAGATGCCAAACCTATTTTTTGTCCAAGATGTCCTGTACCATATGCTGCTCTAAATATGTAGCTGGAGCAATGATATCTCACGTGTTTGCAGACGAATCGGTAAAAGAAATTGCTTATATTGTTAGATCACTTACCCCAGACGAGCGGAACTACAGTCAAATTGAAAAAGAAGTCCTTACAATCATTTCTGATGTTAAATGATCCCATAAAATGCTCTACAGCCGAATTTTATTGACAGATCACAAACCTTAAATTGTGATTTTTGGTTCTAAGAAAGGAATCCCTGTTTAAACAGCTAACAGATTGCAGAACCGGATGATGATGCATTTGAGCTATGACTTCAACATCAAGTATCAGCAAACAAATACTATCTGTCAAGCCGATGCCATCTGTCGATTGATTGGAGTCCGAGCCGCACAAAAAAACACGTGAATATAGAGACTAAAAGCACGCTGACTAGGAGCTCCACTATTATAAACAACTTCAAACCCATTACAAATCTTTTCAATGGTACTTTTACAAGCAATAATGAATCCCTAAGTAGCGCTGTTTCAAAAGTCATGTTTGTGACCAGTAACTTAATAAAATCTATTTCTTTCACATACCTAGAAATTAGTAAACTGATAAACTTCCTTAAGTTTTCAAGTGGTGATGGAGTAAACGGGATTTCTTCTATTCTCCACAAATATGGTGGACTAGATATTCCACTTTTTCATCCAAAGCTGTCAACTCTGTATGTGTGTGTGTGTTGAAAAATCACACATATCATACGACGTTACAAATTTGGAGATAAGACTGACATGTACAATTATCAGCCCATAAATATTACTCCAGTTACATCTAGCATTATAGAAAAAATTGTTAGTGACGAACTTTCCAGATATTCGCTTACTGAAAAATTTATCAATCATTCTCAAAATGAATTTCTTAAAAATCTATCTTGTATGACCTACCACTTTGATCTCTTTAATTTACTATTTGCTCAACGTAACCGCGGATACCTTGTCTTAGTGCTAATACTTTGACACTTCTTAAGCTTTTGATATGATAAATCACCAACTTCCTATAGATCAACTAGCTTCTTATGGGTTCTGAAACCTTCCTCTTGGTTGGTTTGATTACTTCTCCAGCCAACGATATCAAATAATTCAAATTAGTTCTTCCTTGTCGAACGCTGTCCCTGTCAGAAGTGGTGTAATACAGGGTAGTGTATTGGTCCCTTTACTCATTTTTGTTTTTGACAACGATATTTTTTTTAATGTTTTTGTGTGAGTAAGCCCTTCCTGTATGCAGACGATCTTAAAGTAGTGCATTGGTTTTCTCCTAATGAGCAGAACAATATGAAGTTGGAGCTTAACACGGCTAAATGTGGATAGATGCGCTTCGGTAATACATCACTTACATATAGTAGTGTACATAGATACTCCTACAATTTATCCTTCATAGGGCAGGTCTCGAAACAGACCTTCAAGTTTCAACGTCTTATGGGTTGCATATTTCGAAACCTCTACAATGAGTCACGTATTTTGATAAAGTATGGGTTTGACCACTCCAAGAATACCGCACCTTTATTCCTAGTAGTGTTAGCATAAAGGATGAATTAAGGCTGAAATCCTTTTAGAGGCGACTTACACTCCGCTTTCTTGGGACTGATTGTATCTTAGATTATAATTTCAGATGTATTAAACTTCGGCTCGACCCTTTATGGAAGAGGAGACTCAAACCAAATCTAATCTTTTTTGTTCAAAACACTTATTAAGCTATCCTTTACATTCAGTTAAGCAATTCGAAATGCAGAAACTCCTAGTTACATAATCTGTAACTCCTTGTCATTAGTGAGACAAACACATTCCAAATCATCTCTCTATCCATGAAATAAAGTCACTTCCATTCTTTGTTCGCTCCATTGTAGCTTGCTTCTCTCGAAATTCTTGAAATGTTCTCACACCTGTATATTTCATTCCACAACGGAGATTATAGGTAATTTGAAAGTTTGGACGTTATTATCACTGAATTTCCTAGGTAAATCTCCTTAGTCGCTGTTACTTTACACTAACACCGTTCCTTGTAGCCTTAATCAATTTGAATAATATCTAACACGAACAATATGTCATAAAATAACTTGGTTGACCTGACTGATCTATCGTAGTAATTATTGCTTTTGTTTTTCCGCGCTTTGTCCTTCCTTTTTATTTTCTATAGTTGTTGGTGTTTATAATCAATTCATTATGGTGCAGAAAATGACCTTAAATGCACCGCTCATACATCACCAGGATGTCCACATGAAGAAAATTAAATGTTTCCGGTCTATGCACCTCATTTCTAAAATACATGTCATAAATGTACTACCTAAATAATTTTTGAACTAGTAAACTTAAAATAATCTTATATCACATGTTTATTCTCTATATTCAATGTCACTATTTATATCAAGCTGATCATGCCTGTAAACTGGCGGGAATTCTGTAATTGTTACTTTCAGAATATATATAAATATATTATATATTATATTCAATTTTGTGGAAACGAAGGTAATTTAATTGGATTATAGACGAGTATAGTTGATAAAAACAATATTTCACAAAAATCCCAATGATGTTAGTTGGAAAGATAATACATAAAAACTCAGATAAATTTGTTGGACAAAATCTAGAATGAAGGGGATCGTAGTATTGAATTTATCTCACTTCTACTCACTGGTCTCATTAGTCTTACATTATGGGTAGATAAAAAATTTGGAGGCGGTGAGCGATGAATCTGATTGGCTTAATACAACATGACCTTCAAATCTCCTCTCATTCATTGGGATTGATTTTTAAACAAAAGATAGAAATAATGTTTCTCATTAATGTAGCTGAGTGGATTTTTGTTCGAAGATTTACTTCGGCTTAGAAACATTGTGAGCGAAAATATAAAACTCTTTACTGACCTCAAGATTTAGTGAAGAATAAGGATTAAGCTGTAACGAAATTACAGACAAAAATCATAATAGTCATTTTATTCTTTTATTTCGTTTATGAAATATTGGGGTTTATTTTATAGTGAATGTGATATGCACAAATTATAGAAGCGCTCTTATTGTCAATAATGTTCCTTTTTGTTAAATACATAATTTTTACACTTTTTATCGTTATCAACTACAATTTAACACATGGTCGGATAGGACATTTCAATCAATTTAAACGATTTGATACTGGTCTTCTATCAGAAGGCTTACCAATGTGGCTAGAAAAACGTGAGAAATTTGAAGCTCCCTATAGCTATGACAGTAAGTTCATAAATACTAGTTCTGTATCATTTAAATTACATTGTATTTTTGTATTCGCCTGCTTTTAAGCTTTTTCGTGATGCATAAGCTGTTGCTATATTCCGTGCCTTTCTTAATTTACTGTTAAATTATTATGAACGTGTTACTCAGTTCTTAATTTTCTTTATGTGTTTATGAGTTTTGAGTCATAGTTGAATTGAGTGTAACAACAAACTGACCTACTTTCTACCTACATCTTCATTTGGAAATCTTAAACCAAATGTCTTAAATTTGATTGCCTTTATAACTATGCTCGTTTTCTTCGGTTCGATCTTCTCAACTTTCTGCTGCCCGGCACCTCACTTCTGATTGGTGTCCCCTACTACTTATGTCGACATGTATAAGTAAAATACACCTCAAGACTAGAGTTAGATGTCACACAATTGCTTTTCTGTCATTACGGCCCAATCACAAGAGACCCAAAGCAATTCAAACCAAAGAAACAACCTGATGCTGTTTCCTTCTGATTTAATACAGACTGTTCGCTACAGTTTGATAATACTTTAGAATGAATATTCTGATTCCATTTTACCACAAAAATATATTCTTTGACTTCATGACTGAGAATATTATTGAGTGTCCTCTCAACTTTGTTTGGTAAAGAGTCACAAGCTTTAGGACTAAGTAGTTAAGATGAGAGTAACATACGAGTTCAAATAGTAGTAGAAAGTAACTGAAATAGTGATTCACTTACTTTGGCCTGCTACCCCTCGTGAAGGAGTATAGGCCAACCACCAGCATTCTACAACCAACTTTGTCCTGAGCAATCCTTTCCAGTTGGTATTGATCCTTTTCACGCTTGCTTTCAATTCCCAACGTAGTGTGTTCTTCGATCTTCCTGTTTTCCGTTTCCCTTCAGGATTCCAGGTAAGTGCTTGCCTCATGACGATGAAATAGTAATGCATCGGTAAAATTTCAAGTCAGTTAAATACACAGTCAACTTTCACTTCCTTTTTATGAAGTACAAATATATAAAAGAATAGAGTTAATTAATTAAACATTGACTTTCAAACAGCTTACAACTGTAGAGTGTAAAACTGAAGGATAAATATTACAGATTAATATTTTGTTTTCGGTTAGCTTAACCACTGGGCAGATATTCATATAATTAGACAAGCTTCAAATTGTTTTGTTCTGATTAGTGTGTTTTAATCTTATCTATGGTGCAGTTATTCAGTTACTTTTAAATTACGGACTTAAATTTAATTACATAATTCTTGAATATTTCGAAGGCAGCTGTCACCTGCACTAAATGTGCACTTCCGAGAAGTTTAAAACTCCTATTTAGGATGTGCCCAGTACACCTTAATTTCCAGTGATTATTCAACTTATATTCACCCATGTTGAAAATTACATTCAAAATATTTATCCTTACTTTATAAGGGTACTTTTCTATCATTATTATATTAAATGTAGTAAATGGGGCTGGTTTGGTTGACGAACTTTAAAATTTGTCCCCGAAATTCTAGCAAGTTGTTGTATCCGTTGTTTAGATAGTGTACATATAAGCTCTGTTGTATCCGGGTTGCCAAGTGTCACATCTGGAGAGTCGTCGCTCTTATATCTGGAAACACTTTGTTGAGTCCCCAATCTTACTGCTTATGTTTGACAAACGGGAACCACTGCAATTCCTTGATCCTACTCTTCATACTTTCAAACAGGAGCCATTTCAGTTCCAACAGGCCAAAGTAAGAACACAAAAGATTAGTTAAATGAAGATTTATTGGCTATACGAAACAACGTCCACAAGAACGTCCTGAAATCAAATCATTATTTGACCAAAATACAATCATTAATGTATGAAGTTTTACACGTACTTTATAATAACACATAGGGAGGAATAATAGGGTTACTATCAAAACGTATACTGAATACAGTACACATGAATTCATACAATGAATCATCACACTGAATGGAAGTTCACATTTTCAATATCAAATGAAGTTTACACTCAGTTGGCACAAAAAGTATTGACCTTAAAATGCCACATTGAATAAAGTTCACACCTGTTCCACTGGAGGAAATTCAAAATCAATTGATTTAAAAAATAATGTCATCTTATTCCGTCATATCAGAAGTTGAGTTGATAATTGTAGAATTGAATCCAACCCCATGTAATAATATCTATTACTCATGAATTTGTCTATTACTTCATTTCCTTCAACTCATGATAAACTGAAATTTCAGGCTTTTAGATCATGGTTTAATGGCTCAAAAGTAATATGATCTCTATGCGACTTGAAATTTAATTTAATAACACGGATGTTGTTATGGATATCTATTTTTGAAGATTCTCAAACAAGAATACAACACTTATCCAACCTTCTCTAGTCTCAAAAATATCTTTAGATAATGTTATTTCGTACTGAAAGTTAATTTCACATAGAAATAACCTTTACTACATTTAACTCAAGTGATCGACACTCGCTAAAAGTATTTATTTTGAAAATCATTAAACTGTTCAAACTAACCATTTACAACAAACTTTTTAACCTTTACAGGTATTTCAAGGGCACTGAAAGATCGTAGTAATGTGGAACTCGATGAACTAAACCGAATTATCAGTTACAGCAACATTAACCATCCTTTCTTAGAATATTTTGATAGTGAATTAAATCGTAAGTTATCTGGTCTATTTTCTTTTAAATAGTACCTAAGAGTAAAATTTAGAATAAACTATGCAGCATCTCAGCACGTTTATGTGATAGAATCAGAAATTTAAAATATTTTCACTTAACACAATATGATTTTGTCATATGATAATGCGATCTGTGCCCTAATTTATACCACCACTAGGCTGGATACTCAATTGATGCTTTATAATCAAACTGGGATCACGTTATTTCAGGTACATGATTCACGATCAAATACATCATTCTGTATGTCAAGTGGATCGTGCATGTGAACCGCTATGATTTCTGTAGTTTTCAGAATCCATTATTATTATTCATTATATATGAAAATTATATTTGAAATAATCTCAGTGATTGAAATTTAAATAATTCCAACGTTTCGTCCAGCTAACTTGTCTGAACTTCTTCAGGGTAATAATCAAAATTATTATTATTATTACTATTATGTAGGGAGAGCCAGAACATAGATCAGGCAATAGACTTATTTAACAAAACACGAGTAGTCCATGCACGTAATAAGCACATGGTAGGAATAAATGACAGGATGACTTGACTTACTGAAGCCTATTGGGAAGGAGTCGTATATATGCGCGTATTCAATACTCTAAATACTCAAGAACAAATAGATTTATGCTGTATTAATTTAATTTAATAGCTATTATATCCAATCATGATTCAGTTTTCTAATTAAAGTTTCTCATAGAAGTAGTGTAAGTAGGGTAAGTATCCACCAATGGTGGTTAATACATGGTTATAAAGTTCATTTCAAATATACTGTTGGGATATTCAGAAAAATATCCCAAAAATTATCCTGTTAAGTCTAATGCTATCCTTGAACTTGAAATGGTATCGTTTTCCTATTGGCCAATATTTGTTTCACGTGTCCTTTTCCTATTAGTCAAATCTTGTACAAATGTTATTTTCTATTTTATGGTACGAGTGGTCTGTTTGATTGGTATATAAACAGAGTATGTTTGAAATATAATGATTCATATCGCAGAGGCTGAGACTTGCGTTCTTGACTCAAATGGCTGAGCTAGACAGGGAAGCAGGGTTCTTACGTGTTTTACGCGTCTTTGGTCCGATCGATAATTCGCTGCCCTCTAATCCGCGCGGCAGAACCTATAACATATACCAAGTTTACAGAAAACAAAATCGTAACTAGACAGGTATCTAGTAATAGTATAAATTTCTTACTTAATATTCCAATTGTTTATGAAAACAAAAGTCTAACTTGCATAACTTCGATGTTAGCAAACATTTCCCATTTCTTAAGCTTCATTTACGTTATTTTCAATTAGGTCATAAAAACATAATGTAACTAGAAACTATAGTAAATCACTTTAGTTTGTAACTTGTATATGAATACCAAGGTAGGAATATATTAGATTGTGAAAATGTTTGAATATTTATTATCTCAAAGTTTGTTCACTACATAAATAACAACAAAACCCTCTCGCCAACTATCGATACATAAAAGAAACGATTTCATGTATAATGCTTGAATAAATAAACAATTTGATAACCAAAGTTATGTGAATAAAGATCTTTCATAACTGTCTCGATAGATTTCTGAAGAGAACGTGGAACTTCGCTGCACTTAGATATAAATCTGACTCCAGCGCTTTAGCTGGTATACTATCTGATCCTTCTGCTTTCTTACTCGCGATCTGTCTGATAACTTTACCAACATCTATTGTTGGTCCATGATTATCTATAGGATGTGTACTGCTTTGATGTCCAGATCAGTGGTCCTGGTCTACACAAGAGTTCGCCAAAGTACTCTACCCAAACGTTCCACTGCCCTTAATCCACACTGTTTGGTTTGAACTCTCCCTTCCTGACTGATTGCTCTGATTTACCAAATTTCTCTTCTACTTTATTCGTTCTGTCACATCGTTGTCTCATATATCCTTCTGTTGTGGCTTTGTTCTCTACCGGTGATAATTCTTTCACGTATTTCTACTTGTCGGCTTTAATGCTCTTCTTCACTTGCTTGTTTGCTTCTGTGTACTCAGCTTGTGCCTTGACTTTCTCTGCTTGTGTTTGGCTGTTGTTAATGGATATCTTCCTATTCTCCGCTTCTTGAATCTAGTCTAGGGTTCCTACAGAGATCAATTCCTTACGATGATGCTTCTTGAGGCCCAGAACCTCCTGGTATGTTGAGGTTAGTGCTTCTTTGATCCCTTTCCAATTGTCCTCCATGATGGATTACTCTTTTCTGAATAGATCTTGTAAGGCATGGAACCCGTTGTTGAGACTTATCTTGAATTCGTTGAGTTAGTCAGTATCTGTAGGAAAGTCTGTATAGAACCTTTACAATGCTGTTTCTCCAGTTGTCGAGTGCTTCTTTAGCTTCAAGTTCATCTTGGCCACAACCAGGTGGTGATCTGAAACTATATCAACTACTCTCTTTGTTCTTAAAACTTCTATGGATATTCTGAGATTTTCATTGATCCAAATATGCTCATTTTGGTTCGCTGTAGTGTGATCCGGTGAGCCCGATGTAACCTCATGTATGTGTTGATGAGTGAAAATACTGCTATGAATAACTGTGTTATTGAGAGCACATAGATTTGCCAGTCACTCAATGTTCTCATTCTTCTCCCCAGTTTCAAATCACTCCATAATTCCTTTATACTGGGCGTTAACCATCTCAGATCTGGTATTCCGATTTCCTATCAGGATGTTCAGTTGCCTTCCTCGAAAGTTCTCTGCGATGAACCTCATCCTCATAAAACCGGTCTACATCATGTTCGCAGCTACGATTATTGAGTGCATAACATTGGATGCCATTCGTTGTGATCCCCTACTTGTTTGAAGAGCAGCAATCCAACTGGTTGGGTGTGCGTTTCATTTTCTACTTCATGATCAGAACACAATAGCACCTGCTCGGAATTTGATCTTTCTGTCGAACTTGCGTCCAATGTGTTCCACTTTTCCGAGCAGCGCTAAGTTGTGGCTTCTAATTTACTCACCCATTTGACTGATCCTTCCTGTCTCTCAAAATGTACGAACATTGCATGTACCTATGTTAGTTATTGCTCCGATTACTAGAAGGGACATCAGCTCCATGATTTTCGAAGAATCTCGGATTCCATAATGCGTCGTCATAATTCTTCTATATAAAGACCCAGGAAAAATTTTAACTGGTGTAAATGCCTTTTAATGATTGACGTTGTTTTTTCGAATTTTTCCGTTTTGCATTGTACATTATGTTTCTCATGCCCTACTCTGCACTTATACTCGGGCTTTAGACCGGCTGTAATCCTAAAAGGTTTTCAGGACCAGTTTTACTGAGTTGCTGAGCTAGGAAATATTTTTTATGTTAAAATATTATGTCAACTTTGAAAATATAGTCCGAATTCCTTTACTTAATATTTCTTTTTGAGCGTGTTTAACAGTATGCCAAGTCTAAAAATTATTTAAGAGATTTTATGCTAAGTTCGAGATCAGATCTACATTTTCCTTTTGTTTAGCTGTCGTTTTAATTATGCTTAAATTATTATCCACTTAATAATACTTTCTTTAATTAACTTTTTTTAATAACAGCAAGTGTTTATTCTGATGATATAATAAATCGTGATATGAGAGCTAAACCTGCTTTTGAAGCGATAAGTGGTTTACAAAATAATGGATTACGATCTTATATGAATTGGCAACCTGCAAGTGAGTACAACGTGACATTTATTTCCCTTACTCACAATAAATACTACCAACCCGGTAATTTGTTAGGCCTGTGTCTAAATTCCATAACTTTTTTTCTCTTCCAGCTCCGACTACACAAAGTAAGATTTATTGGTAGAAACCAACAAAGATTAGTTTAAGCAAGGAAGATACATTTATAAATACATACGAAATGATTTAAGAAACAATGAAAAAATTTAACACATTAAAACGAAAAAGGTATTTAAAACTTGTGAAATTGAACGAGGACAGTTATTATATGGAGATTATAATACTTAGTATTAAGCTCAGTGATAAAATAAAAATTTTCTACCAAACAATTCTTCATCTAATTAAGAGAACATTAAGTCAGATTCATTGTGGTTAACATATTATGAAAATAGAGGCTTTACTAAAAATGATGGTATTTTGTCGTAAGCGAATGACATTATAGAGGTTCATTACTGTGGAGATCCAATCAACAACATGATGATCACCCAGTTCTCCCTAGTTTTCAATGATTCTATTACTCTTATCAGTCTGTGATATGTAAATTGTCTCGAAATTGTAAATAATTTTGCTTTAAATCAATTAATTGGGTGATGAAAATTGGTTGTGTCCAGTATGAAGGAAGGATGCATTCAGGGCCTAATCAACTATTGTAAGCAAAGCTAACATTCAGAAATAATAAACGTCAACTGACACCAGCGATCACAGAAGAATACATTTACATAAACTGAGTCATCGAATTATTCCGTACTTAATAAATATAATTCTAACATAATGCAGGTTTTATGTGGTAAATAATACGAACTTGAACGAGTAAGAATGAAAATCTACTTTTAAACTGACCGAGTTTATTCAACTTAATTCAAACGACTTACACAGAGTTAGGAAGTGAAAATCGGTACAATAGTATACAGTCCGTTAAAGGCTTGTTAAACATGCATTACTACAACAATTAACGAAAGAGGTTGAGAATATACAAATTTTTGAACTATAAGGGTTTATTAATCCAGATTATGTGTTCGTATGAGAGACCGAAGGCCTTGGGTTCGAGTCCCGCGTGCAGGATCATGGATGCACACTGCTGAGGGGCCCCATACAGGGACGAAACGGCTGTCCAGTGCTTCCAGGTTTTCAGTGGTGGTCTAGCTTAGATTAACTCGTGAATTCAACTGTTATTATTAAATTATTAACTGGAAATTATCATTAATTACAGCTTCTCATTATGTCGTTGTTATTTATTTTAAAAAACATTCACTTTCTAGTCATTGGTTCAGTTTGTGCAGCATTGGGTGTATTGGTGATAGCAGCAATGGGTACAGCATATCAGAAGTAAGATTTGTAACATTAAAAAAATCTGTTTGGATTTATTACGATTGTTCACTAAACATTCTTTGTGTTTAGTCGGTCAATTGTAGGTTTAATGGGGTTGAAACATAGACAACATTATCACAAGTTCAATGATGTTATATATCTATATTGTTAATAATATGATCAATATAATGAGATGGTGGTTAGTTCGTGACATATTATTAAAATGAACTTATGTTAAAAATAAAACTTTTCCACCAATATCTTGATAATTCAAGATAAAATCATATGTATGAATAAACGAAAGACTATTATTTGATTGGAAATGTAATGATCTGCACTGTATGAAATTAAGACAGATGGTATTCTATTGACCATATCCGAATGATAAACACAAAATACATTGTTGCATAAAGTTTCATTCGATTTACTAGTAACATTGAAATTATGAGCATATGTAAAATTCGACGATTACTGACGCCATGTATATTATTTTATTATTTCGTTCACTTCGTAACTAATTCGTGCAGAAATATGTTTTCATGAAAAATTGTTTTATGTGTACATTTCATTGAAGCAAAATCATATTAAATAAATTAATGCAAAAATCTACTACATTAATGACGACTCACGACTTCATCAGCACTTGTTTGTACTTTTAGTAATATTTACATATAGATTCCGTAAATATTTTATCAGTGAAATGAAAATATACTTTATCCATCAATTACAAGACCTAAACTATCAATAGATTAATTTCTTTCAATAAAATATTAATTAAAATTGTATTTTACACTTGTTTGCCTAATCATTATTCGGAACTATTGTCATCTATCGTGTTCTTTTTCAATCAAGGCGTAAACTATGGAAGCAAGCCCGCTTGAGTCAAGATGAAGAATTTACATTAGAGAATTCAAATTTACCAGACAAAATGATGTCACTTGGTTCAGAGGATGATCGTAAACTTGCACAATCAGCACAAATGTATCACTATCAACATCAAAAGCAACAAATGTTAGCTCTAGAAAAGTTAGTCAACAATGTTAATATTTTAATCAAAATCTATCTACTTAAATTAATCTATGTGGACATCTGACCATAGCATCTTGTTTACGAGATTAAGTTTGTGACAAACAGCAGTCTTATGATTACTTTATTCCTTATGATCACAATTGGTTTAAGTTTAGTTACAAATTAATTATATATCTCACATACATTTGATTTGTGATGAGAAAATCTGTCTGAAAGCTATTGTGGAAAAATACAAAGACAAAAATCGATAATGATATCACTTTTCATAATCGATCCGAACGTAATATTTTATAACTGAATAAATTTGATCATGTTTTCCACCGACTAGTTGAATTCTTTACATAATAGTACATAATTTCAGTTCAGAATATGACTAAATTTAAAGTAATATTCTGTCTTGATGAAAACTTCGCTTAAAATCATCTTTCATTATTTAAAGTCCTTATTTTAAAAGAATTGAAAACCCATAATTTTTGAATTTTGCTTAAATTAAGAACTCCAGACACCTGAACAGCAATCGAACAATAAGAACACTGAAACGGAGCGCGGGAGTTTAGAATCTAATCACGAATTTACAAGTCATCATCGATTTCTAGTTTAAGAGCTTTACATCTTACAGTTCCAATAGAAATGTATCACTTTTAAGAGTAAGATCATTAGAGTAGAAGCAAAAATACTGAGTTAGGATCTAATATTTTTTCAGGGATTAATCAAATTTCAAATAAGTCCACAAAAAAACTTTCATTCAGCAATTAAGTTACAATTTGTTCAATATAACACCTATTCCTCCATTTGATCTGGCTTGGAGATTTCCTCTTTTAAAGAAGTTCCAAACTAAAGTTATCTCATTCATCATCGTCCTATAAGGACTTTTCAGCTGATATTAAATTAGTATTCAGTGTCTGATCAATAAGTAAAATTTTCTATCTATATTTTTTTTGTATATCTTTACCACAAGTAGTCACAAAAAAGTATCACCTAACATAGATTTGCTTGGTTAAATGCAAAACCGATATTGAATTCATTCAATCAGTTTTTACGCATTCATCATTCACGACAGCTTAATCGCTTTATACAAACAATCAATATAATGTTCAGACTGTACAGCATGTAATTAAACAATATATTGGTTATGTGTAATTTGTAATCCATTCCATATGGATGGTTAAATAATTATTGTGTGTGCTGAATACTTAATTGTTAAGGTTCAGACTACTAGAAGACGTGAATCGAATTACATATGTAATCACACAAAGTCTATAGGTGAGGATTTATTTGATACCTAAAAGAAAACAATATATATGTCATATAATTATCCCTTCCAAGATGTGATTACTTTTCACAGACGTCTGGAAAAATATAAGTTTCATATGTTACTCGCACTCTAATCAATGTAGTGAGTCGATTAGCTGCTACATGATTTGATTGATTGAGCTAAAAAGTAAACTAAATATAGAGTGTTTGAAAATGCTCGTTTTTACCAGACGCTCACAACGGACATGAGAGATAAACAATATCTTGAAAACCCATGTCCACTCTTATACTTGTGTTTCAGTCAGTCGTTCAGTCAGCTACTTGTGTTTATATCTATGGGAATTGATTTATAGTTGATTTAAGTGAACTTTCATCAGATAAATTATGCTAACGATATGTTTATGTGTTTAAAAAAACCATTTACATTGTAGTTTTCCAAACAGTATATATATACAACTTATGGTTTATATGTCTTAATTTAAAATGTGCTGATTCTAACTAAGATGAAAAATTTATTTATTTTTATTTATTTGAACACATAAACATTGGTACAAGGGGGCACCAAATACATATACGCCATACAATAACAACGAGGCCAGTAGCAGTTATCACTTATTTGAGTGAGCGCTGTCCAAACCGAAAGCAGATGATTTTCTTAGGGGGCCAAACCCGGAACCTTTGACCTGAAGGCGTAATCCACAAGACAGTGGAGCAACGTCAGGAGATGCAGTCCCATGGTAGTCAGTGATCAACAATAAGTTCATGCACCTTTTGTTCCTTCATGATCCTGGAGCCCATGAGCACCAATAGTTTGGAAACAGCATTTTCCAAATCCCCCAGCTAGATCCTCCATACACACTGACCCGCGTAAAGCGCCGGACATTTACTTTTCGTCCTCTAAATTGCGTAAGCAACATCCCTACTGAGAGGAGGTAGTGAGTAGAACTTCGCTGGCAGTGGCTGTTTACGCATGGCCATGTGAGAGCACTTCGAGAGGGCCCTTGGCCTCACTAGGGCATTTAGGAGGGGAATTTGTATTTCATGAGTTATATTATAAAAATGATTACACCGTTTGATTGTTCATATTCTGTTTTCACATTAAATCACTCATAAAAGTATTTGTGAACGATGTATTGATAGAATTTATGTTTTAAAAACTGATCTCCTACTTTATATTTTAATAATAATTTGTATCAACATAAAATGAAGTGACTCTATGAAACCTAATAATGATACTTTTAGAAAACATTCAACCAGGTTGCAATGATAATAAATCGGTTTACATTTGATTTTGCCGCAATAAAGATACAAGCAAAAAACACCAAATAAATTTATACTTCACCCCATTGTACAAGCAGGTGGCTATCAGGATTCATTAGCTTAGTAGATAAAGCGATGACGTTGAGACGAACAGGACTTGGTCCAAGTCCAGGATTGAATATCACATCTGGGATGCAGGTACATCTAACTGACGAGTCCCAAATAGAATGAAACACACATTCTGGATTCCACTGACAGCCACCATATATTTTTGCTTCTAAATAAATCTCAATCAATAAATGGTTCAGAAAATATTTGACTAAAATAAAACTATCATTCTGACAGTTGATTTTAATGCTAATACCAAACAGTATGACTATTTCACTTCGAGAATGGAGTTTAACTAATATTTCGTCAGTCTTTTCAAACACATTATTCGATAGATTTCTAACCCAAAATTAATGATGACTCAAATTTAACTTGGAAATAATCACATCTCAATATTGATAAACAGAAATTTAAAGTAATTTTACAGTAAGTTATCAAGAATTATTATTCAAATTCAATAGAATCAAGTATCCATTCAATGTTTTCATTAGGATGGAATGAACAATATAAATCTATTAAAGTAGACTAACAATAATTAAAGATAGTATTTTATTTCATAGCCCTTAAACTACAAATATCATTAATGCAGTCGAACACTAGATAGGCAAATTTCAAATTTTAAAATGGGAAATTTGTTATTCAGCAACCATAATCATATTCAAATGAGACATGACTTTTTAAAAGTCAATTAATTCAAGGAGTTACTATACGAGTTACTATTATTTATTAATAATTATTATCAATGAACAGCTGTACGTACTTCATGTTTATCTGATTCCTACCTCTTTGATTTTCACCAGTATTCCAGATACTAATAACCTTTGAGGAGAATTACTCGTTTTTTAAATGGAAAAGTAATCGCCATAAATTTACTCATTAAAAGATCCCACAAATTTTCCGTAGATCAAAAATGTTTGATCGTTAACTGTGTTTAAATATGTCGATACAAATTGACATTTTTTGATAATGACAAATTTCCACAGTTAATTTAGTAAATTAGACAGGAAAAAGGACACTAATTGGCATTAATTGGTTTTGAAGCCATCTAGGCACATATTCAATGACCCTTGATTGCATTGTTCCATTACTTCTCTCTATGTATATGTTCCACACAAACATGTAGATTGGTAAATACAATTTACTAAATGATCCGATCAACGTGGGAGGTAGAAAACCAGGTTCATCGATAACGAAACATATTATTGAAACGGGGCACAAAATTGACATTAATACAGCTTTTAAAACGTTGTATAGAAATCGTCAAGGACTAGTTCTCAGGTTTATTGAAGCATTGGTTATTCATAAATTTAAACCCCCCCTTATGTGTACAAAAACAATTTGTCGTAACCTTGAATTTACCCTGGTAATCCTTAAGTAATTCGGTAGCCTAGGATACCGCGTCAATTCCTTATTCTTTCTATACGATGTAAAACTGTTTCTCTCCCGTTTGTTACCTTTTTTACTAGAACTTTCACTGAATCGATCTTTATTAAATTCCATATAAAATGCCCTGACAAATATATGTGTGACCAGATTGTTCGAAATGTGTGGCGCAAATACGTCTTCTCATTGTTTTAACAAATATTTTATCCACATTATCAATATCACGTAATTGCTTATCTAACTTTATGATTATCATGAAATACTTACTTACTTACTTACTTACTTACTTACTTACTTACTTACTTACTTACGTCTGTTATTCTCAATGGAGCATAGGCTGCAGACCAGCATTCTCCATCCCACTCTGTCCTGGGCCTTCCTTTCTAGTCCTAACAGACTGTTGTTCATTCTTCTCATGTCTGTCTCCGTTTCTCGGTGTAATGTGTTCTCTGATCTTTCTCTTCTTCCTTGGCCTTGACGATTCCATGTGGGGGCTTCCCTTGTGACGCAGTTCGGTGCTTTCCTCAATGTGTATCTCATCCATTTACAACGCTTCTTCCTGGGATCGGGTTTGTTCGCTCCCATAGTTGGTTGTTGCTAATAGTGTCTGACCCACGGATCGGAAGTATTCTGCGTAGACAACTGTTAATGAACACTTGTATCTTCTGAATGATGGCTTTCGTAGTTCACCAGGTTTCTGAGACATACAGTAGAATTGTCTTGACATTTATATTGAAAAATCTGACTTTGGTGTTGGTTTCCAATTGTTTTGAGTTCCAGATGTTCTTCGATTGTAGATATGCTGCTCTTTCTTTGCCGAACCGCACCTTCACATCTGCATCAGATCCACCGTGTTCATCGATGATGTTGTTCAGATATGTGAAGGTTTTTACATCCTCCAAATCTTCTCCGTCAAGTGTGATTCGATTGGTGCATATTATACAGAATAAAATGTCATACGAGAAAAGAAAAGAAATACTACACTAAGTAATCATTACATGTAATCAAAACGGAAGAAATGTTGAATAAAACCTATAATGAGTAAATTAATTGAATCTTGACTTTTCTTCCAATCATCTCACCTCCATGCACGATTTTGCAGTTTAATCCATCACAAGAATTCCGTATGATATTGACTATCTTCTTAGGCACGCCGTAGTGTCGAAGATGCCTTCATAGTGTTGTCCTGTTCACGCTATCATATGCCTTCTCGTAGTCAATGAGGTTGATGTGGAGTGATAAATTGCATTCAATTGACTGTTCCATAATGATCCGTTGAGTCGCAATTTGGTCTGTACACGATCGATCCTTACGGAATCCAGCCTGTTGGTCTCAAAGTTTGGCATCTACAGAGTCCTTCATTTTGTTTAACAATACCCTATTGAAGACTTTTCCTAGTATTGAGAGAAGAGTGATGCCTCTGTAGTTCTCACACTTGCTGAAATCACCTTTCTTTGGTATTTTGACCACAAATCCTTCTTTCCAGTCTCTTGGTAAATGTTTCTCATCCCAAATCTTATTGAAGAGAATGTAGAGTATATTTGTAGTTACCGCCATGTCTGCTTCAAGTGATTTTGCTGGAATGTTGTCTGGTCTCTCTGCTTTGCCGCTCTTCATTTGTCTGATGGCCATGCTGATCTCTTCGACCGTTGGTGGGTGATACTTCGATGTTGGGTGGGTTCAGTGGAGCTGGTTGATTTAAGAGTTCTTTGAAGTGTTCTACCCACCAGTTTCGTTGTCCTTCAATGTTGGTGATTACCTCGCCTTCCTTGTTTTTCACTGGTTGTTCTGGTTTACTGTGATTTTCAGAGAGTTTCTTTGTTGTGTCATACAGTTGTCTCATGTTTCCTTCTCTAACAGCCTTTTCCGCCGTCACTGCTAAATCTTCCACATATTTACGTTTGTCGGTTCTGATGCTTCTCTTCACTTGCTTGTTTACTTCTGTGTATTCAGCTTGAGCCTTGGCTTTTTCTGCTCTTGTCCGGCCGATTTTGATTGCTGCCTTCTTATTCCTTCTTTCTTGGATCTTATCCAGTGTATCAACAGTGATCCATTCCTTGTGATAGTGCTTGTTGTGTCACAAGACCTCATGATATGTTGAACTGATTGCCTCCTTCATCCATTTTCCCGTTGTTTCCCATAACAGTTAACTCTTCATTAAGTAGATCATGAAAGGCCTGGAACTTATTGATGAGGGCTATCTTGAATTTGTTGAGTTTGTCAGTATCCCGAAGAAGAGCCGTACTAAACCTTTGTGATATTGTCCGCCCCATTGTCCAGTGCTTCTTGAGTTTCAATTTCATCTTGGCGACCAGCAAGTGATGATCTTATGTTATATCAGCTTCTCTCTTGGTTCTCACGTCCTCCATCGTCCTCCTGAACCTTTTGTTGATGCAGATATGGTTGATCTAGTTCTATGTAGTGTGGTCCGGTGAAGTCCATGTGATTTTGTGGTTGCGTTTATGACCAGTTTATTGAAGGCACATAGATTTGCAAACCTCTCACTATTTTCGTTCATTTCTCCAAGTCCGTGTCGTCCCATGATGTCTTCATATCCGGTTTTGTCCATTCCAACCTTGGCATTTAAATCTCCCATCAGACCGGTCAGGTCCTTTGTTGAGCACTTCTCGACGATTGACTGCAGCCTATCGTAGAATTGATCTTTAGCGTCTTCATTATAGTCGTTGGTAGGCCCATAGCATTGGATGACGTTCATTGTAATACCCTCTTTCTTTGTTTTGAAGGAGGCCTTGATGATCCTTGGTCCATGAGATTCCCATCCTATAAGTGCATTTTGTGCTTGTATGGACATCATCAATGCTACTTCTTGTGTATGTGGGGCATTTCCTTCTTCATGTCCGGAGTATAACAGCAGCTCCCCTGAAGCTAGTCGTTGTTGTCCAACTTGCGTCCAATGTGTTTCACTGATCCCAAGCACCTCTAAATTGTATCTCCTCATTTCTGCATCAATTTGGAAGACTCTCTCAGTCTCCCACATTGTACGAGCATTCCATGTACCTAAATAAATGGTTGCTCTGGTTGTCAGAAGGGGCATCGGCCTCGTGACTTCCGAAGGATCTCGGCTTTCATCATGAGGTGACATAACTCTTCTAAATGAAGATCTTTTAACTCCCAGGGCATGGTTTAAATGGTCTGAATAATTTTTCTGGTTAACGAGTTAGTTTTCTACGGGATTGGGACGCTAACCCCATGCCTAACCCTCCTCCTTTATCGTGGTTTGGGACCGGCAGTATCTTCCGGAGGGACTACAGGCGGAGTTATTATCACAAAATGCTTACTATTAAAAATTATGCAACCTTACACTAGGCTCTCATCACATATTTTATATACAATCATTGATGAACCGTAAAGTACACATTCTGAACTAGAACACCAATTCTTACCAACTACTGTACTGTTAGGACAGACAAAAGTATGTATGAATTCCAAGATATGTGCAAGCGACCACTTCTCTTGATATGATTAATATGACCTAGTAATAACTACTTATAAATGCGAACAACTAACTCAACTCTTCGATAAATGATATCAGACAACAGAATAACTGATCAATAAAACAGAAGTCATTTTATACTTAGAAAATTGCACATTTCTATATAAAGTATTTAACACAAAATAAACATGATTAAATGTTATCATAAAAACTAATGACAATCAGATTCGAATGCCTCAAGTCGTTTACTGATTTGTGAATCACTTCCTTTGAGAGTTTACAATTTAGATCATTTCTTTGTTTATTATATCACTAATCCATTATGTTCATAAACAAATTCAATTTAAAAATATCTAAACTTCCTTCAGTAAACATTTTGATAAACTCTTTGTACTTTAAATCATTTGCACTGAAACTTTTACTTAGCTGAATCTAGATTGTCTCTCAATAACACATTTGACTTTATGACAAAATTGTTAGTTAAACAATGTAGTTTAAACTGTTGGGTAAGGGAAGAGGAATTTTTATAGTTCAAACTAACTTCTGATATCACTGAACTTCAAGCAGAAATTGTGGCGACTTTATAAGCATAAATTATTACCACCTAAACATAAGTATATCAATCACTTAATCTCTTCCATAGGACATTCACTGAATTTACAGTAGATCTGAGATTTGTGCACTTAATCTTCATGATAACATTTCTTTGAAAAAATCTGTCGTGATGCAAAGTAAATTTTGCCTTGTCTAAATTTGTCAGCTTTCGTATCCGTGAATTATGTTCATAAGATAGAGAATTACACTCATGGTTATGATGTAGCTTCTTTTGGAGAACTGTCCAGTAGCCGACCAACCCCTTTGGGTAAGTAAAATCTGGACTTTCACATTTTTGTGCCATAAAGGAAACAGACTTAAAATTATTCAACTTACCTTCTTCTTTGACCACCGACTACGGATACTGAAACAGTATTTCTGAAGCCATGTTTGCCATTCAAACTGGCCTCCTTCAACGTTCTCACACTAATGCTGAACGGACAACAGATAAGGTTGGTTATGTCTTTAGAAAGTCCTAACATCGATATCTGTTGTCTATGCGAGAACAAGTGAAGTGCTACGAATTCGCCCTCTATCTGTCGCTTTGGAAAGCTTGTTTGACATGCGTTTATCCAGTGACTCTGTGGTATCTACGTCTAGTTTTGCTGGCGTTAGTGCCGCACTAAACGCCTGGGCTGAGGTAGCACTGGTAGATTGGATCTTTATTAACAGTCCATTATGGTGCCTCTTTGTACCAATGTTTATATGTTCAAATAAATAAGTAAAAACTATCAGAAAGATGTTTTGTGGATATTATAGTAATTTAATAGTTGAGTTCATGAGTCTCTCCCGCACGAGACTGATAGGTCCTATGTTTGATGCCCTCGGGCGGGATTGTGGGTACACACTGTTCAGGAGTCCCACAATAGAACGAAACGGCCATCCAGTGCTTCCAGATTTTCTATGGTGGCCTAGCCCCAATTAACTCATGAAGTCGAATAGAAACTACTTTAACGATGACTTCGACCATATAACGAACTTCGGTGGTCGCCCTACTAGCATGAAAACCTAATATAAAACTTTTGGTTCTGATGACATTATGAATCATGGAGTGACTTGATGTCACTCCTCCATACTCCCAGCGTTTGCTCTTAAATGCATACAGTAATGAAAGTCTACCATAAACAGCATAAATAAAAGGATCGTTGAGAAATACATTTTCTGCACTAAATTGTCCTTAACTCTTCGTCAGTAACATAACGGATTTTCTTTACTACTTACATTTTCAGTTAATAATACTATGTTTCCTATTGACTGTAATCTAATACGGTTTACATCATTAGAGCTCATTGTTAGAGAAATGGTGGTTATTACCGTTTTTATTGACTTTTTGTGTATTAATAACCAGTGATATTAATCTCACTTCATTCTTTCACATCGAACAACATATTTCACAGTTAGGAAGATGAATTGAGAAAAGAATTTTTTGTTACCATTTTAAAAACTAACTACAGCATAATTAATTATGATCACCTATCATAGTATCAGATAATATAATTTGTAAATATATCTAGCCAAAATGAAATAAAGTATTTTTGTTTTTGAAATTACTCAATAACTCATTTCTGTATTGCTGTATTTTTTTCAGAGTTAATGATCATACTAGAATAAGTGATGAGGATGACAGTGAAGATGATGTGGATGAGGGAGATTTCACAGTTTATGAATGTCCAGGGCTTGCTAATGTAAGTTAGTCACATCTCTATCATTTTATTGATATATCACTTGGAGATTTAAGTAATCCATTGTTCACCGTATTTAAGGTGTTTCTTAAAATGTTGAAATAATAACTTGAAAATCCTAGAAACGCCATAAAGTTAAGTGAAAGCAAATAATGTGTTTCATGTTATTAGAAAAAAACGAACCGTCAGTAGATCATCATCAAGGCAATTACATATACTCTAGAATACGGTTTACCTCCCCTTAGCATTATCCATAATTACCAAACCTTTCAAAGATTGAAGTTATTATATCGTTTACTAAATAAGAAGACGTTTTATACTTCAAAACGGAATACAATATTTTATATACATCTAATGAAATATGTTTGAATTCGAAAAGAACATTGATTCTATCGCTAATTTATGTTGATAACAAGGTATATTAACTCATTTACAAATAGCACTAAGGTTTATTAGTAGCTTTAATCACTAAATGGTTAGATTCGTAAATAACATTCGTTTACAGCTAGTTTGAGTAAAAAAGGTTTTACCAATTATCACTATAAACAAGTTCTACATGTTGCACTTGTACAGTGAACTGAAAGTACGGTTAATCATCAGGTAGCGAATGATAATTTTCGCTTTCCATCACAGAATTTCTAGTCGAAATTCCAAGACTGATCTATAGAAAAAGTTACATCATCATCATCATCATCATCATCATCATCATCATCATCATCATCATCATCATCATCATCATCATCATCATCATCATCATCATCATCATCATCATCATCATCATCATCATCATCATCATCATCATCATCATCATCATCATCATCATCATCATCATCATCATCATCATCATCATCATCATCATCATCATCATCATCATCATCATCATCATCATCATCATCATCATCATCATCATCATCATCATCATCATCATCATCATCATCATCATCATCATCATCATCATCATCATCATCATCATCATCATCATCATCATCATCATCATCATCATCATCATCATCATCATCATCATCATCATCATCATCATCATCATCATCATCATCATCATCATCATCATCATCATCATCATCATCATCATCATCATCATCATCATCATCATCATCATCATCATCATCATCATCATCATCATCATCATCATCATCATCATCATCATCATCATCATCATCATCATCATCAATCATCAATCATCAATCATCAATAATCAATCAAAAAAATGATATTTTACTACTTATACGTTTATATGAAAATAAACTAGGTAAATAATTTCAGAACAGTGAAAATTTTCTCTTTATTTATATTTGGACTTATTTATTTATCAAGAAAAGTTTCATTTTAGTTTTGTACTCTCGTTCTTTATATTAGTTGAATCGTAAAATTCAAGTGTTGGTAGATTTACGTCAAAAACCAGTAAGTGAATTGTTATTATGACCTGTTGGAACAAGAACATCATATAACCTGAGAGGAGTACAATGAGCCAATAGAAAAACTATGATAATTTTAGAAATTCATAACCGTTAACAATACTTTTTATATCAGAATAATATGAGTGTAGTTTTAAACGTGTTACACAAAAAGTCACGCGGTGTTTATTTAAAAGAAAGTTATGTTATACCATAGTAATTTAGCAACATTGCGCATGACCTTGAGGCTTTTACTCTGTTTATTTACCGGTGAATACACAAACTGCAAGGAAAGATTTCGGTAAAGTAACCAAACTAAAACGTATACAATGTTTGTGCAGGTATACTGACTGACCTAAATTCATAATTCGCTTAAAAATATCTAAAAATAACAGTATTATCAAGAAAAAAAATAGCGTCTAAATAACCCCTTATCGGCTCTTACTCGATAGTATCAAACGTCAGAATAAGTTTCCGAAAAACTCAATCTGGCTTCCCCGTTCGAAATATGGACAATCATTTCATTCATTTTCATAGAATTCATCACGGACTAATCTCACTTAGACAGCCACTGTAGTCAGTAATTTTTAGTTTTTCTAACGTTCATTACTATTTCGGTGTCAGTTGCTTCAAATGTACATACGCATGTATAATAGTTTCCAATATATTATATGGCTAGCAAATTAGCTCTTCTGCTTGTGTTTATTATCCTATTTAATTGTGCTTCTCATACTAGATAGTTAAGACAATGTGAAAAGCTATGGGCATGGGTGATATGAAGAACAAAGTGGATTCTAATTCCATCAAGTCATCGACATTAATCCAAACCGCATTCGTTACACAGCTCCATGCTATACTTCTTTGATGTTTTATGCAAGAAGTGAAAGTAGTCATTTTCACTGAATTGATTCGTTCTTATCAGAACTGTTCATCTCCTCAACTTCGAGTCATAACTTTTAACGAGTGATCCCATGTTTTCCTATTGACGTTCGAGTCATTTAACTTCGATAGTCAAATAACCTACCATTTAGTATCGTTCGAGTAAGCGCGTTTTGATTACACATACTATGTGAGACGAAATATATACATTAATCAAAATTTAGTGCATTGAGAAGCAATGTTCGAGTAGATGGTAGCAGATCGTTGCAGTGATCAGTTTAGGCTGAAAAAATAATATGTATCTTGGTGGAACTCGGACGACATTTCTCTCAACTGTCAATTAGGTTTCAATTTCATTGACACGTATCCTGTCACGAACAACGATTGTTCGCCCCCCCTCACCACCACGATTGGCACATTTAAATCAGACTATTAAGTCGTACTTCTGACCTTGAAATCACATCGTATTGATTATTCGGTGTGAAAACACCTTGTTTAATAGTAAGACACTAATTAGTAGGACTAGCACGAAAATATACATATATTCGGGTGATTTTTATTTTGCTTTTTTTCTCATGAAACAATACTGAAATCTTTAAAAGTCAGATAATTCATTCAATGTACCAAAGAAAATGAATGATCATACGCAACGCTCAGATATGAATTTACTTAACATTAGGTCACTTGTTGATGGCTAATCAAACATAGATTATTGATTTTCGAGTTGAGATTAATCCGATCAATAATGTGTGGACATGTTTGATTGGAGAGTTGTGTGACATGAACTGTTGTATATTCATTTTATGAAACAACTGGAGAGGTTCCAGACACGTGGGAATTCACAAATTCCTGTGTCCCTGTCTCGTTTATTGGGATTACATGTCCTTGTTAGTGAATTGTGATTTAGATAATATTCCTCGAACGATTCCGATCTTCATTCTTCAACACAATGTGAACGATAATTTTCAGCAATAAATACAGATTAAGATGACACGTGGTCTATGTGCATACACATTTATTGTTTACAATGATTAGGTAAACACTATTTATCATGACCCAACTTACTGATTCTGACCTCGATGGTAGATCTTGTAGTGTTTTGCTGTACAAAAGTAACTTGTTTCCCTGTTCAATACCAATGTTCCTTGAATGAGTCAAGTATGTTATTGGTTGAGAAAGTGTTTTCAAAATGATATTTAACATCATTTTTTAAAAGGCTAATTATCTTAGACTGATGTACGGGAATTGTGAATATGGCTGTAAGATGTAATGAAACCATATGTCTGGTTCGTGTTTATGTCGTCATCATCTCCAAATCACAGGACAGTTGGAGAGGAAGTTCTCAAACTACATTACAATGAGATGTTTGATCGCAGGCTTTTCATTATGAATTTCATAAACAGTGAAACGCGTACATTTTTCCACACGTCGATAGTACACTATTTGATACAGTGTAAATTTGACTGATTACTTGAGTGCACTACTAACTGGTTGAATAACGTTTTTGTTACTTTATTGCAGTCCATGTAAAATAAACAACTGTTCTTTCTTGTTCACATTATATATCTTACGAGCACTATGCGTTATTTGTTGCTAAATAATTGAAATCAGTATTTTGTTGACTGTTTATCAATCAAATACATTGTGAAAATTCAAGATGCGTCTTCATATTCGCTCTTATACTCTGAAACATTCACAGATTCCAAATTGTATAAATTCTATTGGAATTCACAATAGACGTATTTTTTAAATAAGTTTCCTTATTATTCACACGTTTCATAATTCCATTTAATTTAAACAATCATAGTTACAGACTATAAAAAAGGTTGTTTACATATGACCCTGGACCCTTCGGGTACTCACACTCCGTTTTTTGGTATACTGATTGTTGTTCTCAGTATCATACCATAATTTACCACTGTTGTTTTCTTATTTGGTCGGCTGCCACATTGACAGATCATTAATGCAACTGTTGTATGCGCTCACAGATCATATTTTTCTCATAACTGGATTATATATAGTATGTTTAGATCATATGCTATACTTAGGAATTATTGATTATACGTTATAATTGTAGATTTAATGACCAATCCAACACTCCATATCCAGCACTTAACAAGAAACGTCCAAATTTTATTTGTGCAGTTCTAGTTTGTGTATCATTATCTAATTTTATACAATATTATTTAATACGTTTTTTACTACATTTGGTAATTATATTTTTAGTCTGCCACAGCTTTTAGGCAAGAGCGATATTTCTTTACTTCATGGTATTATCGAGTCTGTCCTAATTGTAACTGGTCAACTGTTAAAAATAGTATTTGACAAAAAAAACACCATGCCACTCTTTTATCGCATTAAGAAGTCAGTTGAACTAGACAACCTGGTGTTCTACGACAGGACATAGTAACGATACTAGTCCAACAAGTGTTACACCGATACAAAATAAATCAGTTTCACTTACCACATATTGTAAAACATTTGATGATACCTGGCTTGGTTGAGACATTACTTGATCTATCTAATCAAAACTTCCAACTCCACTGAATACTCGTAACAATAGATTTCTAAATTCTATCACACTCTATCAAATTATGATTGAGATAATTTAATTAAAGTAAATTGCTCCTTCTTAATACCTACTTATTTTAATAGACTGGTGAAATCGAAGTCGAAAATCCTTTCTTCGATAATAATAATAATAATAAAGAAAAGAATAATAACGATAATAATAATGATAATGCTGGAGAGAAAGCGTTGAATACAAGTGGCAGCTCAGGTGAATTGATTGGTTGCAGTGATTTAGATGAGCACATTAGTGACTGTGTCAATAACGGATTTGCCGACGACTTTAGTAGTCTAACAACAAATACCACCACCAACGGAGAAGTAACGTTGATCACGACAACTACAACCATTGTATCAACACCAATGCAATCAGAGAAATCACAGGCAGCTAGTAAATAAGTTGTTGTGGAACGAGAATTAAATCAACTCCAATATTTAATGCTAATCATTTTTTTCATTGTGTTTTTGCATGTCGTCTGTTAATGTGATTTGTGTAACAGATTAGATTATCTTTTGAAATTCTGCAATCATTCATATCATTTTCCAACATAACAAATAGTATCATCGGTCACTTGCGACGTCACTCAATATACACAGAAGTCTTCGAAGCACATTTGAAGGATGATATAGCACATAATTTTCTTGTAATAGATTTATTCGGAGACGTTATTTTTTCCTTCAGGATACAAACTTTTCCCATATTTATACATCATAATTTGAGGTTGTTATCATTTTGTTTGCTGTCAGAGATAACAACTTGCTAAACATTTCAATACATTTTCGTTTTTATCAAAAGTCATACATTTTCAGACACTACATATTCAAAGTTTACTGAAAATCTATTCATTCTAAAGTACTTGTCCAAAAGCCAGTTATTTTTCTAAATTTTGAATACTGTACCAAGTATATCATCCTCGCGTTGTGCTGTTTGTTTATTGGTTCATCATTGCTTACATCACTCTTCATCAATGTTCTTGTGTGTATATGTGTGCATCTCCGTGTAGATTCTTGTTTGCAATAGGTAGTAATCTGTTGTTCGGTTTAATTCGTCTTGTTACTTCAAACCACCTTTTGCTACCGTGAACTTGTGTGTCTCCCGTAATCATTAGTTGAATGTTATTTCTCAAATACAATAAACGATTCCAAAGGATTCGTCTTCATTTCATAATTCAATTGATACTAGTTAGTAGTTGATAACAGTGAATTATATGAGGAGAATATGACATAGGTCTATGAAGTCATTAAATATTGAACTGAGTTGTGATAGGAGATCCAGAGTTCTGGTTGACATCTGCACGATAATCATAATCAATGGTTAGAGAACTTAGGTGATGTATGGTAAAAAATCGGTTACAGTAGGATATTCGTATTCGTTTCGTAATTCTTTTAGATTTTACATCTTACCATCATTACGTAATTTTATTTCATATTCTTACCGTGAATCAAACCTAGTTTAAAGGACTAGCTGATGTGAGTATACTACTCCGTTTTCAATCTATGCTTAATTGGATTACAACATCTATGAGTTAATTTTTGTCGGTCCCAAAATGAACCAATTGGAACAAAGTATGCGCAACACAACTTCACACTGTTTCAAAAAGCTAACCTTACATTTTTTAAATAATACAACTAACTTTGAAGATATCTATAACAGAAAAACTTCTTGAAGTTGAATGTCTTTTGGAAAAATAGAAGAGTATTGATTTCGATTAATAACTTATTGTTACTTCTTGCGATACTACATATCCCATTGAGTGGATGTTAGCTTCTATAACGATTCCAGTCAGAGTTCAATGACAGGACACTCAGAGAAATCAGATGGGTTTCCGAACCAACGTTGAGCTCATAGATCAAATATTCACCATCTAGTAGATTCGGAAACTGTGACCACCTTTCTTAAAATGATACTGGCACTCAACTCTGTCGACTGAGAGACGTTATGGAAGTGAATGATATTGGAAAGTGCATTAAATAAGTACGGATATCATTTAGACGCTCTTTACTTATGTACCATTAGTTGAATCAAAGCTTACGGTGGACTGTCATCTGAGTTGGCCTACAAAAGTGGCATTCATGTTCGACCCTTAAGTCGAATGCTCCGGGCGTGGCCACTTAAGAAAACCACCTGCTTCGGTCTGGTCACCCGGGCAGTATCTCATCCCACACACAAATCAAGTGACTCGTGTGGCGCAGATGTATTCGGTGCCTTTTTGCACTAATATTTATGTGTTCAAATAAATAAATTGACGCTTTGTCGGTTGAATAACTAAGCCAATAGTGTTGAGATAAGGCATAGGATACCAGGTAAAAATGGTAGCAAGTTGATTGATGGTACTATGAATATAGTGAAATCACCGGAACAAGTGCTACACAAGCTTAGTCAACGAATGTTCCGACTTGCTATGATGCTTATCGTTGAAGTAGTTTAAGAAAAGTGTGACAAAGCAAAATAATGGAATGACATAGGCCTGTCTTTGCTGTGATATACATCCACAACACAAATGAAATCTATAATTGGTGATTATAAGTGACGTAGCTTGACGTCAATCTCAGTGGTACAGAGATACTGACATTTCATCTTGCCCTAGATCCCAAATTTCATTATCAGTTCATACTTACCCTTCTTGAATTTTATATGTTCCGTTCCAACCATATTTGTCATTTCGTTCACCAAATATATAGTGATATTGTTAGTTTACGTTCTTTGTTTTTACTATCATTAGTTTCCTCCCACCAACTACATGTAACGTTTAGAGACTTAAACTGGTCCGTATTAAACGCATATCTTATCAGGTTTGTTATTGATCACTGAGTGACTTCTGAATACATGTAATACTGTTCAGAGGTTTTCATACGTTGATGTAGTTGTGTGTGGGAAAATAGTATGAAATCTGGACAAAATCCCTGAAGTCGAATGTTTGTAGCTTGCTGATTTGGTTCTGTGAGAGCGTACTTTGGTATTTGTACGAATTAATGATTCTTCCGTATTTGATGGCCAGCTGCTTGCGAATTCCTAATATTACACGTTCATTTGTGCTCATTTAGTTCTACTTAGAGTAAGTTGTACCATTTCGAGAATTCCTGGTTTTTACATTGATTCGAATACTTCTGATCATTATAAATACCTCTTGTTAGGACACTGAGACAACTTAAGTATTTTTCTGTTAATTCTCTCCCGAATCTGCTTTTGCCACTGTTGTATGGTAGTTCATATAGATTTTCACCAAGTAGGAGGTGAATAAGAATACATAATGGACGGTAATTGTTTTATGCCATGGATTCACTGAGGTCGAAAAATTCCTATTATTGAGTGTTGATCTATTTGATGCAATATTCGAACATACTGTGTTTGAACCAATCCTTAAGTAATCGATAGTATGTGTCATTACAGAACAACTAAATTGAAGGGTATACAGTTCACTGAAACGAGAATGAGAGAAAATGATCGAGTTCAAGAAAGAGGCCCACGAACAGAAACGTTGCATGTACAGTACACCTCGTTAACCTGGTTAAAAGTTTAATCATGTGAATGGAATAAATTCACTCAACTTCTCTCTGGATGAGCTGTTTGCTTGAACTATAACTCTCTATAAACCCCACAATATGATTGTTGGTTCTGATCAATAGTCACTGAAACACTTGAGTCACTAAGTGTTATGAGTTAGCATAGGATGGCATCTTTTGGACTATGATACAAACCTAAGGGGTAGCCGCTACAATGGACTAGAAGGATGTTGGGGTATTCAGAAGATACCCCAGAAATTATCTAATGCTATTCCTGAATGAGAAATGGTGTCCATTCCCCGTTGGTCAATATTCTTCCAACGTGTCATTTTCCCATTGGTCAATATTTATTTGTGTCATTTCCTGGAGGTCAAATCTTGTACAAATGTTATTTTCTATTTTATGGTACGAGTGGTCTGTTTGATTGGTATATAAACAGAGTATGTTTGAAATATAATGATTCATATCGCAGAGGCTGAGACTTGCGTTCTGGACTCAAATGGCTGATCTAGACAGGGAAGCAGGGCCGATCAGAACTCTAGGTTGTTCTTACGTGTTTTACGCTTCTTTGATCCGATCGATAACTCACTGCCAACGCTGTCCTCTAATCCGCCGACGTCTCAACACATAACAATTGTCGGCCTTCAATATAACAAAGGAAAACTTGTATACTCCAACCACTTCTGAGAGAATCAATCAAGTATCGACTAAAACAAAATTACTGAAGTGAAAGACTACTGTGATCATTATTTTAAAAATATTCATGACATTTTAAATCGTCAAATGAAGCGTTTTTTATCAACTTATTTCTAGGAAATTGTTATATCCCGATACGAATAATGAATGGTAATTTTTGGGATCCAGTTACGGACCAATACTATACTATGATAATTAGGAGTAATTGAATTATAGTATGAACTAAGAATCCCAGAAATAACGCAATTGAATCAAGAAGTACTACACAAGCACTAAGGAATGTTTTGTATTTAGAATTCGAAATCAAGCATTCAACAAGTACAAAGCAATCATTAGTTCATTCAAACATCACATCCGCCACAGCTTAAATTGGAGTCCAGGTGTCTGTAATTGATTGCACATCTTCTTCTTAAGTTCATCCTGTGTCTGTCCAACAGTGTATTGGATAAAGACTATGTATTATCTAGGATGCACTCATTAGTATTTGAATTAACAACGGAAATCGGAACAGACTCACTCGATTTCTGGGATTGTGAACAATCACTATGCCGGTTGAATGCTGAAACTACTACCTAGGATATGAACCATAGACTATCCTCCCCCACGAAATAATGTCGGATCTTCATATTCCCAAGTTATGAATAATGTAGCTTCATCTAAAACATCTTTCTCAATTTGACTAGAGTAAACATTGGAAGTGAATTTATGATAAGGACAAACAAGAGTTGATATGGAATTATCTGAATTGTAATCAAACTCTAACTCATTTAATACTCGTGCTTCGCATCGAACAAGTTTCTCACAAGAAACAAATACATCATGAGGACAAATAATATTTGATATGACATCAAGATTTGATTCTTCTGAAATAGTTTCCTCAAATTTATTAAGAATGTCATTTCAGAGTAAAGGATCATTAGAAAAATCAGCATCAATTAAAACTACATCAGTTTTTCGATCATGATTAGGTTCATCCAAAATATTTTCCTCAGATTTGTAAGAAATTTCATCAGAAATATGTGAATCATTAGGAGAAATCATATCTGGTACAATAACATGGGAAATCTGATAGGTCGATTGATTAGAAATTGTTGTCTCGCAAGAATTCTGAGTTTCATTAAACTGTAGCGTGGTGTCGAGTTGAGCTGAACTATGAACACCGCTACCAGACTACTTGCCAATAGACCAATAAAATCCCG